ATTCTGAGATAAACTGCTTGTACAAACAATACCAAATTGAATTCCTTGGAGTCATGTAACCCTACAGACCAAACACCAATGTATTCCCTGGGACAGAAGAATACCGGGCAAGTTTTCAAACATTCAAACATTGTTTTCAAACAAAAAAACCTTGCTAGGGAGAGAATTTTTTTATAAATTCAAGAGGTAGAAAATTGGAGCCACGAGAATTCTGGTAAGACTCTATAGAACGCTGTCAAGAGCACCTAATCTGGAGTGAGAGCCTGGAAAATGAGAGAACCCCAAATTATTAGAATTCAGGGAGGGTGTTTGGATAGACAGTCAAGCCATCAGGCTGCCAAGGAGAAGAATACAGGTTCTGCTGGTGGCAAGGGAATTGTGGTTTCTAACTACATTGGTACTGAAGTTCTGAATGAAAGAACAGGCCCTATTGAAACAAAAGAAGTATGAGACATTCTGTCTGATGTGTCTTGACAAGGCACTTGAGCAGTATTCAACACTCAAATTATTACAGAAAGAATTGGGTGATTCAAGAGACCTGAACAAGGAAAATATTGAATTAACTGTCATCTCTGATGGAGCAGGCACTCCCATTTTTAAAAAAAAGATTATTAAAGTTTTTATGTAATGACTCTCAGCTGCTTTTAAAATTAATTTTTAAAGACTTTAAGCCCATCCAAAAGTGGGAGCTGCGGAACTCCACTGTGTTCTTCACTGTCACTCTCAAGTGCTTCAAGAGGTGACAGAAGTGCCACCCAGCCTGCAGTGACTGGTGCTTGGCTCTCTGCTCTGGGTTCCTGTGCTCACACATCTCTTGGGCTGGCCGTGGCTATGGGTACTTTACTGGAAGGGGCTAATTATGATTAAAAGGATATCAGGGTGACTGTTTTATCTCAGGACTGAGGATTCTGCCATGCCTGGTGATGTGGCCCAAACATATCCAGTAGTTCCACCTGAAAGCAGCTGTCCTTGCACAAAAATCAGGGATAATCATATGCTGGAGAGGTTGAGTGGTTGGGCTCAGCTCCCTGCTGTGCCAGCATTTTTTAATTTGGAATTGCCAGGAAAGATGCAAGTCCAACGTGAATTCTTGTCTTTTAAACACTAAAATTAGCCAGAAATCAGAGGCTTTAAATGTTCCAGGCATTTTAATGGTGGTGAAGGTCAAAGACAAAGTGCAGACTGTGGCAGCGAGGGCGTGTCAGAGACAAATTCTTATTTCTACTGAAGGAAGTGGACTGGAGCTCGGAGGGGGAGGCAGCAGGAGAAAGCAGACAGGCTGCAAGGAGAGGGGAGGCCTGCAGTCAGCACTAGCACAAAGGACATTCCCAGGCATGGCTCCAGCATTTTACTGTAGGTCAGAAAGTCCAAGGATCCTCCCATCCCTATAGTGACAATGAGAGGGATTACAGAAAGGGGAAATAGAGGTTTTAGAGAAGGGGGCTATGGTATATGGTGGTGCTGGGACAGGCAATTTCTCCTTGAAAATCTTATCAGCTCCATCTGGGAGAGTGGGAGAAGAGAGGGGAACAGGTGGTTCCTGAATTCACCCAGAAGAAGGTGTGTTGCAGTCTAAATTCTATAGCTGAGAGGAGGGTACAAAGTGAAAAGCCTTTTGCTTCATCTGGAGTGGTTTTTAATTTGTTTAATTTATTACAGGGTAAATGCCTTAGCTAGCACTGTGCTCTTGCAGGGAATTGAGTTAACAATAGGATGTGTATTTGTGAAAGGTGTTGGAAAAGCCCTGGTGGCTGCATTGAGCTCTTCCTGGGTGAGTAAATGCTGTACTAGCTCATACTATGTGAACAAAAAACATAGAAATATTTTAGCAAGTTCTTACTCCTTGTTTGGGTAATTCAGCCATCTTTGTGCTCAGTTAAAAGGAAACTTCAAAAGTGAAAGCTTTGTATTTATTCTGTGTGGCTCTTCCAGAGACAGCATAACAAGACATTTCCAGGAGTCTTTTGCCAAATCACTGATGCCGGTGATCCTGGACTCATGTGGCTGGGAACCAGTATCATTTACAAGTACACAAATTCAGTGTTTCTGCAAATTAACTGAAGAATTCTTTTGCCTTTGAAAATCAAGCACTGAGGTAATACATTGGCAGGCAGGAAAGGGAGAAATTCATTTGCAGAGGCTCACTAGGCTCAAGATAGAACTCCACAAAGCTTGGAAAAACAGCTTTCTGTGGCTCTGCTGAGTTCCTGTTAATTACTTAGCCAGACATGATCTTGCACGACTTGTTCAATACCAGGGACTAGGAGATTTTCTTTGGTAAAGAGAGCCCATAATAACCCTGTTCTCTAATCTCTTTTTCTGTAGCTGATGCCATCCTTTATAAAAGTGTGTGTGTTTATATACACATCTCCCTGAGGCACCTAATTGAGAAATAGATTTGTGAGGGAACAAGAACATTTGGATTGCAGGAAGCAACTACACAGGCACAGGTTGACTTGTTTGATTACTCTTACATGCCAATGTTGTTATCAGGAGACTGGCTGTGTATTGAAGCATTCCTGAGGGACTTGGGTGGGCATGGCACCTTTGGAGAGCCTAGCAGAGAGTCCCTAAATCTCTGCTGTCTGTGAGCAACCACAGACACTCCTCCCAAATGCAGGGCAAGGCTTTGCCATCACTGAAATATCAGCCTCCCAAGTATTGGTTATTTCTGCCTCTCAAGAAAAGCTGCTGTGCTGTGTGGGGTGAAGGCAGGTCTGCTGGTTCTTAATTGCCTCCTTCCCCAGTGACTTGGGAGATTGTTCTCTAACTGGCTGTAATTACCCTTTTCTGTAAACTAACCAAAGTGCACTCTGCTTTCGGTGTTATGTTCATTAGCAGGATTCTGTTTTGTGGGTTAATGTATGCTGGGAATGTCCAGTCTGTAGGAACAGACTGATTTGGTAGCAAGTGTTTGTGAAATGCCCTGAGGGACAAATCTCTGCCGGGTAAGTGATTCAAAATGAAATCCCTAATGTTGAGGACAGAGTATGCATGGGTGCCGAAGTTGCAGGGTGGATTTATGTGTGAAACATTCACCTAAAGAGGGGAGATAAACTTTTTATTGTCCTTGAAAGAGAGCTTGAGGGGAAGGCTGGTTCTGAGCCTCTGTCTGCAGAAGATTTCTCCCTGTGGTTTGTGATAGTGGCATGATTACTTGTGTGAGGTGAGGAGGGGATTTATTCTGTGAGTGGCACTTTTGGTGTTTTTGTGAGGAAAGTGGGCTGCTAATTTGGCGCTGGAGAAATGTGGGAAGAATGAAAGCTTCCCTTTGTACCCTGCTCAAACATAATGAATGAAAGAAGGCTCGCCATGCATTGCTTGAAAAAAAAATATAAAAAGGTCTGAATCCTAGCAGATGTTTTCCTTCTTATTGTCTAGATATTCAGCAGTGTGGACTGGTTGGTTTTCAGATGGATAAAGGCGTGCAGCACATAAATATAACTCTGAATGCCTCTAACAGCATCCAGCTCCACTGGATGTGGAGTCTTCTGTTCTGTCTCCTGTAAAGAGCACAAAAGCATGGCTGCTGTGCCAAGCACAACTGGAGAGGTTTGCCTAGCAATGGTGTTGACTGCTGGATAGTAATGGGGGAGACTTGGGATTTTTCCTGCATAAGGAGATGATTCCAGTGAGAACTCAGCCCTGAATCTCCAAGTGTCTCTGTGTGGACACTGCTCTGCTGGCAGTGGGGGCTCTTGAACTGCTGTGGAACAGCAACAGGCTTCCTTAGTGCAGCAAACCATGTCAGAAAGATGCTCTCAAAAAGGCACAGGCAGGAAGCTATTGCTGAAAAACCTGTTTCACAATTGCCTTTGGAGTGAATTTCCTCTTGTGTATGAACCCTTGCTCAGAGCATTTCCCCATGCATTTCCAGAGAGAGAGCACTTGATGGCTGGGCTTGTGTGCAGTGCTCACATCTCAAAGGCACCAGGCACTCCAAGTGCTTGGTGCTCAGAATCAGCCCTGATGAGCATTCATACGCCTGGTTTGGCTAATAGCATTGCCCCAAGTGTTCTGATGTGCAAAATTATTTCAACTGTATGCGAGACTACTGCTCTTGCTGGGTATTTGGATACCCCAATGGTCTGGAGAGGAGGCAGATGAATATAGGAATTGTAGAAACAGAAATAAAGACTTAGACATTAAATAGAAATCTGCTTTAAAAACAAAAGGCTTGCTTATTGTTCCTGAAAGCATTGGGTATTTACAGGAAAAACCCTCGAGAATAAAGCCTGGAGAATGTGATATTGCATGCTTAGGGATTCAATTAGTCTCTGACTATGATTCCCACATGTGGAAAATGACAAGAAATAACTGTCATGCTGTTGAGCTCTGTCTATTCTTTCCAAGTTGCACACATCTTTGAAAACTGCTCTGAACAAATTTAATGGTGTCCCTGGATAGTACAGATCAGGAAAATAAGTGTAGAAGAGCCCCCAGTGAGTAGTCTGTGGGCCTTTCACTCTATCAGATGCTTATGTCACTTGCTCAAGTGCATGCTGTGCTTCCACCCTGAAACTGGTAACTTTAAATGCTTACCTGCTAGTCTGTTAATGAAAATTATCCTGCTAACTCTTAGAAGTCATGCTGGGGCTGTAACTCCTTGAGGCTCTTTTTTTTTTCCCTTTTGCTCTTTTTGTTCTTTTTAAATTCAATGATGGTGAGGTTCAAAAAGGCAAGCATCTTGTATTGTTCTGGCTACTTTACAGCAATAGTGTGAGAAATAATACAGAAGAGGGTTCTAGAAGATATTTTATATATGCAACATACATGTGTATGCCACTACATATGCACAACCATAAGTGCATCTCTGTATGTATGTGGGAAAAATGGCTTTTAATCTCAGGCTGTGGTTTATGTATCTGCTGGCTGCACCTGGGCACTGTGAGCCCTTACCAGGAAAAAGAGCTTCTTGGCTTTTTCAAGCTTTGTCTCTATTTGAACACCCACTAGCACACACACGTGTCTGGGATGGCATCCCCCAGTTCTTGCCTTACCTTCACGTCGTTGATGTTCATCCTCGTCCCCTCCTTCCCGACAAAGATGTCGTCGATGTCAACCAGAATGTACCTCTCCAAGGAGAGCGTGAGCTTCTTTCCCGACAGGAAGGAGATGGCGTCGATGAAGATGAGCTTGTGGAGCCAGAAGGCCAGGTTGTTCCCAAAGAGGACTCTCTGGATGCCGTCGTGCAGGCCCAGGTCCTGGATGACAGTTGCATAGAGAGCAGCCCTGGGCAGCGTGGCCGGGGTGGGCCTGGCGGGCTGCAGCTCGCTCAGGAGCACGGGCTGGTAGGTGGAATGGTTGAACTGGAACACCGTCCAGTCCTCGCCGGGCAGGGGGCCCTGCTCCACCCTGGGCGCTTTGGTGATGCGCAGCAGGGGCGACTGAGGGTTCACCACGCAGTCTCTGAGGGCCACGTTGTTGTACAGCTGCAGTGGCAGCCCTTTCAGTCTGGTGCTCGGGGAGCTGTTCTCGTTGGCTTTATGAAAACCAATTATGCTAACACTGTATTCCACACAGTATTTTTCTAGAAGCTCTCTATTCCATGAGTCCATGGACACGTACTTTAAAATATTCTCGTATATAACAATGGTGTACTTCCCTCTCCCGTTGTCTGTGAGAGGGGGAATGTCCCCCTTGGCTGGTGCAATGACCATGTGGTACTGAAACTTGCTGGACTCGAGGATGGCTATGATGTCTTGCCCCAGCTGGGAGTACTGGCTTTCCACGAACAGGAGCACAGTGGGATCAGTCCTGGAGGGATCAATTGGCTTAGGTGTTCTCAGCTCCGCAGACCTGTAGGGCAGAAGTTTGAGGTCCTCGCACTCTGCTCGCCCAGTGGTTTCCACGAGGGCCATTTCCTGCTTGTAGCCAGTGTAGAGGAAATAGGCAGAGATGACAATACTGGCCAAGCAGAAGGTGGCCAGGAGAACGATCAGCGTTCGGAAGCTTCTGCGGAGCTTCCCGATGAGATTCATCTTTCACGGGGCTTCCAGCTCCTGCTGGACTTGCCGCTTTGCCGGGTGCTCTTCCTAAAGTGCCATGGGAACGAGGAGTTGCAGAGGTTCCCCTTCCAAGATGTTCATGTGACCATTGCAGTGCATTTATGAAGCGTTCGGGGAGGCTGTAAGGCTGTCGGAGCGGGAAGTCAAAGCAAAGACAAATTGAAAGAAGTTTTCTCAGAAAGCAGCAGCTGCCAATAATCAATGAAGAGGGCTCTTAACATTATCTGCAACAAGAAGTAAAAGAAGAGTAAGTAAAACAAAATCCATAAAGCAATTAAAAACACACATTAATAAGGCTGATTGATACTGGTAATGTGAGTAGAGAGGGAAGTTTCTGAGTAGTTCAAGGAGCACTCAGTGTCACTTGCTTTCTTGGTGCATTAAGATAAGCTGCATTAAACAGCTCCCCTTGTGTTCTTAGGATACAGAAATGAACTCTGAGCATAACTTGTTGAGGATGTGCATCTACTTATCATCTTTTCTTATCTAAAATGCGTTGTTGCTATTGCAGATGGGAACAATGAGAGATTATAGGCGCAAAATTAGGACAAAGTGAATCTTTGCTAAATCTGGGACCATGTTCTATGTCAAATTCAAATTGCATAAGGGATAAATTCTGTGTTGGATTGGAAAACTAATATGACCCAAGTGAAAGACATGACAGGAGTTTGAGGAGAGATTTGTAAGGCTTTCTCTCCAGTTTCCGTTCTGCACTTGGAGCAAGTTCAAGGTTCTGTGGGGATTTTCCAAGTGGATGGGCAGGCTGCTACTACTGCAGGGTGCATCTGTGCATGGCTCTGCCTCCACCAGGGATCAGTGGGAGGTGCTGTGTAGCAGAAGTACCTCAAAGAGGCTATGGTAGTTCTAGGTGGGCAAGTAGGTGCTATGTCTGCTGGTCCATGACACCTCTGGCTGAAGCCCTCGGCCTCTGGTCTGCCCCTGTACGGATGGAGTACGAGGTGCTTAAACCTCACTACCCTGAAGCCCTTGTGCGATTCCTGGCAGCTCTGCCTAAATTCATGAGAAATTACCATTTGTAACAGTAAACCCTATGATTCAGAGGCAGTTAAAGCTAGCTAAATAAATAGCCCATGCTGCTCTATGGATTTAAGTAGGAATTAACATCCTTGTGAATTATTTATATTGTTTGTCTAGTGGAACAATGTGAGACAAAAAACAATGAATTATTTTGGAACTGCAGGGGAGAAATGCTTTTTCCAGGCAGATACTTCCCAGTTGACAAGTTCTCCTCCATTAACTCAGATTACGCTTTTGACTTGTGTTCTGAAAACTCTTCATTTATCTTAAGGTTTGCACCTAAAAGTGGAAAATGCTTGTAAGAAGCATTTAGAAAGGAGGAGTTGTTTTCTGAGACCATTTGTGACTCTGGCAGGTTCAAGCTCTTATCTGATTTATTTTCCTCAGTTGGAATCTTGCAAGGAGATATTGGTACCCCTGGATTGTGGGCTATTCCAGCAGTGACCCTACTGTGTCACACAACTGGCCAAGAGGGGAGCGAGGCAGGGACAGAAATAAGGAACCTCTTCTGCATTTACTCCTTTCTTTGTGAGAGAACAAACGTAAGAGAAATCACAGCTACCTTTAGGAAATTGAAATAATCCTGATAATCTTAAGAGTATTTTCCCTGCTTTGGTGCTTCCCTTGTTTTACAATTGTCTGCTTGCTGGGATTTCACTTCTTATTAAACCTACAATTAAGATTTCTTCAAAAGATAACACTGGATCAAGCGAAGCATCCTCTGCAAGACAGTGTTGGAGTTTGGGTGACATTGAGGACTCACTCAGCTTGTGTCCTAGGGTGACGTTATGGTGATTGGAGATGTGTTCTGTTTATGCTTGATATTATGTTCTGTGCTTTCAGAACTGACTCTGAAAGTGAAGGTTTGTTTTGCCTTGTTATCATCTGGTTCACCTCCCACCATGGTCTGCTGTCTAGAAAAGGCTAGGGCTGGCTGGCTTGCTTTGCTTGCTTCTGCTTTTGCCTTTGCTTCCTAGTTAGTTTAGCTAAGCAGTCCAATTCTTTCCCTAGACTGTTTCTTTTCCTTTCCTTTTCCTGAATATCATCCAACCTGCTTCGGACTGGGATCTGGGAAACACCAAGGAACACCGAGATCCTGCATTTTGTGATCTGCAGCAGCCATCCCCAGTGCCCAGAGCAATCCCCAGCACCCAGACCTGGGTGACCACTCCCAGGAGAGACTTTCTGGATTTGTTCATCTCTTGAGAGTGGTGAAAGAGTTTTGTTGTCATCTGGTGTTGTTCATTTTTTTTTTTTTGGTGCTGGGGAGTGCTTTGTTTGTTGAATAAACAGGTTCTTTACCACTTCTCTCAGAGAAAACTTTTTCCCAAACCAGGTGGGTGGGGAGGGGCCGTGGGGGTTTGTTTTCTGGGGTTTTCCCAGATTTGCCCTAAACTAGGGCAGCCTGACTCGGAGGGTTTATCAGATCAGACCTCTTGCTCTCCGTGGGAGGGGCAGCCTTCAGGTCTGGGTGATGTCCCCCCACAAAGAGCTGACTGCCAAAAGCCTGATCCCCCTGGATGCTGTGCGAATGTTTCAGGCTCCACCTGTGGCACGAGGGGATAGCTTGTGAGATGACCTAAAGTGGCACGATTTTCCTGCAGTGCTTGGCTCTGCTGGATCTCCTGGCTACTGGTATTGCAAGCTGTCAAAACAATAAACTTCACGAATATTGCAACTTGTGTTACTAAAATTGGAGAAGCCCCTGACTTCATACTAATTGAAACAAAACTATGGTCTTCATCCCTGTTTCCTTCCAATGACACTGGTAAAATCTCATTGAGATAAAATACTAATAATCAGATTTCATGTTAGCTACTATGTGTTGTATGTAGATGTTATAATTAAGTGCAAGTATTCCCACTTATTAAGATGTATAATTACATAAAATTGATAAAGAATTTAAACTTGCATAAGGAAACCTGGCATTGGAGCACACATTTTTTAGTCTGCACTTTGTTTTTGAATGGCTCTGTTGAACTGATTATACTGTTCAGTAAGAAAAAAGTGGTGTGAAGTAATTAAAGGTTATGAAAATAAATCAGCTAAATTAGCCATTAGTGGAACTTTCTCCAAGGCATAATTGGAAGTTAAGTGCCATTTGCACCTTTGAAACTCTCTCCCTTAAAGTTCAACAGCTTTACACTCACTCCAGAATTCAACTATCTTTGGAGAGCTCCTGTGCTAGATTAATTTGAAAAACATGAAAATGGGCCATATTTCATAATTAGTGTTACTAATGGAGCTTCATTTTGGTGACTGGTATTTGAGGTCCTGTGCTCCTGTGGTCACTGATGAGCATTCCTCATACCTCCTCTTCAGGGAGGTGGAGTCCAAAGCTGGGCACATGTGGTCGAGGAATCAAGGCTGCCCTGGATGCAGAGTTGGTCCTTCAGTAGATCTTGTCCATTCAGCTGATTTCCTCAATGTGGGGCCTTTGCCCAGCAAGAGCAGAACAGACTCTGCTGTGATATCCCAGACATCTGCGGGGAGTCTAATTTTTCTTTAATTCAGGCAGCTGAAGAAAAATGGAGGTTTAAAAATTGCTGCCTCTTTGCTAAATAACACTTCCTGCTTGCCCGCAAAAATGCGTTTGATGGATGACTAAAGCTTGCTGATTTTGAAGATGATTGATTGGGAGATTAGGAGTTGACTATTTAAAACTGATAGCACGACAGCGAAGAGAAACAGCCCCTTGTTAATGCCATGTGTTAACTGTGCAGCAGGAATTAAAGCTGTCTCCTCCTGGGCCAGCTCCCACAGGGTGCAGCTTCCCCCAGCAGCTTTGGTGTGTGGGCTGGGGGAGCTCCTCTTACCTCTGATCGTGGGGAGGCAGAGAATCTCTGAGCCACTTGAGCTTGTGGGATGTAGAAATATTGATATTAAGCCATCAGCTGTGTTGGCTCACCCTGAGGATGGAGCTAAGGGACCGGACATCTGCAGCAGGTTCAGAGCGTGTCAGTGCTGACAGTGCCCAGCAGAGGAGCAGGACCGGACCCTCGTTGTTCCACAGCAGCGTGGCCATTCCCAACCTCCTGTCTGCACCAGAGTGCACTGCAGGGAGCAATTCACCTGGAGGCAGGCCAGAGCTTTCCCTTCCTTATTCTAGTATAAATCAGAAGTCAGAATGTCTTTATTGTCTATATATAAAACTTCCCTTTAGGCTAAAAACCCAATGTAAAGCCTTTCCTCTTTTCTTTCCTTTCTAAGCTTGTATGACTCCTGTCATTTACTAGCAGCCCAATGAATCATGATAGCTGCCTTGCTGCTCCTTGCATGGGACTCCTCATTCATTACAGAAACAAGCAACCTGATTTGAGTGATAAATGACTCCTGGTGACCATTTGCAAAATATTCAGGGCTTCTGTTCACTGCAGAAGGAAAAGAGAGCATTTTTCTTTTCTTTCTCCAGAAAAGTTTCCAGGACATTTTTTGGCTGAGCTCACAAAACTTAAATCCTCTTTGAAAGTAACTTTTTTTATTTATTTAATTAATGAAGCTGCAAAGTGTTTTGTGTTTGTAAATGTGGCATTGCTTGAGAGGGGTGTTGGTACCAGCTTCTCATAGCTCATCGCAAGGTATTAGAAAGCTCTTTTTACCTAGGATAAGGCCAGCCTCTCAGCTGATAAGGGCTGCTGCAGACCTTCTGACTTGTATTTTATCATTTCTGAGAGGAGAGGCTGCTCAGTACTTTATCTCTTTTATTTCTTTTCAATGCATAATCATGTGTACGTTAAACCCCCACTTTTTCAGTATTTTCAGCCATTTGATCAAGTCTGCATTGCACATGTAATCTTCTGTGATTTCAGAAAGCTAAATGATGCCAGAGGGTGAAGTCAATAATCAATGAATATAAAGCAAAGTGTTTGACATACTTCAACTTGTGCACTTGATGAAAGCTGGTGTGATTTCAGTGTGAAACAATTGGAAGGGAGCTGTTTGACCCTTCTGACTTCTATTTCTCTTTGGCTTTAAACTTTTCCAGATGATTTCAGAGAGTGGTGAAAAGGCTCCCTGGTGGAGCAGTGGCTGGAGGGTGACTTGGAGATGAGTTTTGCCCATAGGGATCTTCTCACGCGTGTGCACACCTATGCACATGCACATCCTTTGGTTCCCCAGCCCAAATGTGACATTTCATGTGGCTTAGCTCCTTGCAGAAATGTGTTTTAAGACTTAGCCAGACCAC